GACCAAGAGGTTTTATAGATGACCAAGAGGTCTTCTTATAGATGACTAAGACGTCTTCTAATAGAAGACCAGGAGGTCTTCTCATAGAAGACCAGGAGGTCTTCTCATAGAAGACCAGGATGCCTTCTCATAGAAAACCAGGATGCCTTCTCATAGAAGACCAGGAGGTATTCTCATAGAAGACCAGGAGGTCTTCTCATAGAAGACCAGGAGGTCTTCTCGTAGAAGACCAGGAGGTATTCTCATAGGAAACCAAATTGTTTTCTTATAGAGCATCAAGTGGTCCTCTTATAGAAGACCAAGAGCTCTACTTATAGAAGACCAAGAGGTCTTCTTATAGATGACCAAGATGTCTTCTAATAGAAGACCAGAAGGTCTTGTCATACAAGACCAGGAGGCCTTCTCATAGAAGACCAGGAGGTCTTCTCATAGAAGCCCAGGAGGTCTTCTCATAGAAGACCAGGAGGTCTTCTCATAGAAGACCAGGAGGTCTTCTCGTAGAAGACCAGGAGGTATTCTCAAAGGAAACCAAATTGTTTTCTTATATAGCATCAAGAGGTCCTCTCATAGAAGACCTGGAGGTCTTCTCATAGAAGACCAGAAGGTCTTGTCATAGAAGGCCAGGAGGTCATCTCATAGAAGACCAGGAGGTCTTCTCATAGAAGACCAGGAGGTCTTCTCATAGAAGACCAGGAGGTCTTCTCATAGAAGACCAGGAGGTCTTCTCATAGAAGACCAGGAGGTCTTCTCGTAGAAGACCAAGAGGTCTTCTCGTAGAAGACCAGAGGTCTTCTCGTAGAAGACCAAGAGGTCTTCTCGTAGAAGACCAAGAGGTCTTCTCGTAGAAGACTAAGAGGTCTTCTCGTAGAAGACCAAGAGGTCTTCTCGTAGAAGACTAAGAGGTCTTCTCGTAGAAGACCAAGAGGTCTTCTCGTAGAAGACCAAGAGGTCTTCTCGTAGAAGACCTGGAGGTCTTCTCATAGAAGACCTGGAGGTCTTCTCTTAGAAGACCTGGAGGTCTTCTCTTAGAAGGCCAGGAGGTCTTCTCATAGAAGGCCAGGAGGTCTTCTCATAGAAGGCCAGGGGGTCTTCTCATAGAAGACAAGAGGACCAAGATGTATTCTTATAGAAGACCAAGAGGTCTTCCTATAGATGACCAGAAGGTCTCCCTATAAAAGACCAGAAGGTCTTCCTATAGAAGACCAAAAGGTATCCTTATAGAAGACCAGAAGGTATCCTTATAGAAGACAGAAAGTATCCCTATAGAAGACCAGAGGTCTTCCTATAGAGGACCAGAAGGTTTTCCTATAGAAGACCAGAAGATCTTCCTATAGAAGGCCAGAAGGTCTTCCTATGGAAGACCAGAAGGTCTTCCTATAGAAGACCAGAAGGACTTCCTATAAATGACCAGAAGGCCAGAACGTCTTCTTATAGAAGAGCGGATGGTCGTATAGAAGGCCGGAAAGACTTATAGAGAAGTCCAGAAGGTCTTCTTATAGAGTAGTCTAAAAGGTTGTCTTTAGAAGTTCAGAAGGTAATCTTAAGAAGTCCAGAATTTCTTCTCTTAAGTAGCCCAGAAGGTCTTCTCTAAAGAAGCCCAGAAGGTCTTCTTAAGGAGCCGTCCAGAAGGTCTGCTTCTTAAAAGACCAAGAGGTTTTTATAGAAGACAAAGTGGTGTTCTCATAGAAGTCCATTTGGCGATCTTCCTCTGCAGATATCTTTTCTGTTGTTTTTTCGACATCTATGTTTTCCATCGGAAATCCTTGTGGTATGTGTTATAGTGGACTTAGTCCACTTGGCCTTATAAAGAATTCATCTATAAATTATGGCAGCACATTTCTTACATACCTTGTATCAATTCTAATTGCCCCCATCCATTATCGAAATAATTGCGGCGGTATGGTTTCTTGGGTGGTTGGCTACTCGGTCTTTGGGTTGTAATTAAAAATTTGCCATAAATTTCGGCGCTTAATTAATGTAAATAATGGGAATTTGTGCCGAGAAGGCACAACACGAAGGCAGACAGACGATGAAAAAAAATTTGAAACAAAAGATCAAATGACGTAAAATGTTGACGTTGTTGAAGTATTATAAATAAACATTATCTCTTCCTTATTGTTTACCAAAAAAAAAAAAAAGCAGCAGAAAAGAAAAATTACCTATCTTACCTTCCTCCCCCCCAACAAATAATTTATTTTCCTCAAAAGAAAAAGAAAATGCGTTGTTAAATTTTTATTCTTCGAAGAAAATTTCCAAACAAATAAAGACAATTGTTTAAAATTTCAATTTCTGCAGAGAGAAACGTTTTGAAATTTACCGACAAATTGAAATTCGTCGAAACTTGCATACATCTGTGTAGACGAGCGTAAACATGTCTTTTCGCTCACGTTCCCGTGCCAGCCAACCGTTGGCTTCCACCTCTTCGAGACGGCGTTCTTTGTCCAGTTCCAGGGTTCAAGGTGCCGGCGCCTATAACTACAATGGCACATCGTATGGCAGTGGTCTATCTAATGGCGGCTACAGTTCCTCGTCAAGTTCCTCGAGACCCCTGAGTACCGGTTACTATCAAAATGGTTCCAATTCGAATTTAGCTCATCATCGTACTTATCAAAGTCCCTATGCCAGTACATACTCCTCCAGAGATAATCTCTATGGCAGTGGCACATCAGCGGGACGCAATAGTAACAGTTATTATTCGAATGGTAATAAAGCAAGCGCAGCATCATCAGCCTCAAGCTATCGCCATGAATACATTGCTGCTTGCTCCAAGGAAAGCTCAGCTGCCGCCTCTGCTGCTGCCACTAAAATACCGAGATCTTCATCGCCATTAGTAACAAGCAGCAGTCAACAGCATTACCATCATCACCATCAGCAACAGCAAAATCAGATTCATCATCATTCAATTACCATTTCCCTTACGCCTCCACCACCCTCACCCTCCTCTTCCAATCATCAGCATCACCATGCTTATGTGACAAATGCTGCCAGCTCGTCCTCCGCTTCTTCACATGGCGATTGTCGTACCATCATTCATCACCCAAATCGTATATGCGTTCACCGCATGCCGCCTCACCATCACCCTCATCCAAGTCATCATCGCCTTCATATGCTTCTACCAGCACAGCTTCAGGCCTCTATTCATCCAGCAATTCATCATCGGCCACCACAGGTACCTCCTCTTCCAGCCACAATAATAATTCCTACTCCAATGAAGCAAATTTCAAATCTCAATATTCTTCCAATTCTTCTTCCACATCTTCTGCGTCGACACCCTCCAACCCAACGCCCACCAACACCACAGCCTCCTCCAATGGTTATGATGCGCCCACATCTCGCTACTCGTCCTCCAATTCCTACGGCTCCGATCATCGTTACAAAAGTCCCTATGCCTCGTCCTATGATAACTGGCATCACTACAGCTCGTTGAGTTTGGGTACAGCTGCTGCCAAAAATTCCAATTCCTATTTGAATAAAAATCTCTCCAGTTCACGTTCCTCGCTCAGTGCAACAAAACCCATGTCGTCATCGAATAGCAGCTTAAATGGATATTCCGGCAGTTCAGCGGCATCAACACCAAATGCGGCGGCAATGGCTGCCATTGTTTCGCGTAGCAGTTCTCTGCGGGAACAGGAGAGGAAATCGCGTACACGTTCCCGTTCACGTACAGCTGCCCAGAGATCTCTCAGTGCCTCATCGGAGAAGAGTGAAGGTTATGAAGTACGTTTGCGGGGGGAAAGTAGAGGGGAACACTTTGTTGTTTTGTTAACAAAAAAGAGGGGTGGGGTTATATTTTGTCCTCACTTGGGAGTGTTCTATTATTGGAGGTCATTTATGCGTAGAAGACCTATGTCATCTATCTCCCTCCTAGAGGTTATATAGCCTTAAGCCCTTCTTGAGGTTCCTTTGGAGGTTCCATAGCTGGGCCCTTGGAGGCCTTTTATCCCTAAAAGGCCTATTGAAAGTCATCTAAACTTTCTGGCCCCTTGGCGGTAATTTTTCCTTAGAAGACTTAATCATTTATACTTAGAAGACCACCTGGAGGACATCTATACTTAGAATACCTCTTGGACGTCACCTGTCTTTAGAAGACTTCTTGAAGGCCATCTATTCTCAGAATACTTGTTGGAGGTCATCTAGTCAGGGAATACCTCTCGGAGGTCATCTTCCATAGATTATTTCTGTGAAGATCATTTTGTCAAAGAATTCTTCTTTGAGGTTATATTTCATGTATTATCTTTGGGAGGTCATGTTTACTTAGAAGACCACCTGGAGGTTATCTGTCCTTCGAAGGCCTCCTTGAGGTCATCTATCCTTAGAAGACCTCCAGAAGGTCATCTATCCTTAGAAGATCTTCTGGAGGTCATATATCTTTTGAAGACCTTCTGGGGGTCATCTATCCTTAAAAGACCTCCAGGAGGTCATCTATCCTTAGGAAACCCTTGAAGGTCATCTTTCTTAGAAGACTTTTTGGAGGTCATCCAAACATAGAATAACTCTTGGAGGTCATTTATGCTAAGAAGACCTTCTGGAAGTCATCAATTCGTAAAATACGCCCTGATTGTCATCTAACAGAAGCCTTTAAGGACCTCTTGGAGGTCATCTCTACCTGGAGGTCATTTACTCATTGGATAACTTTTGAAAGTTATCTATTGATTAAAGACCTCTGGGAGAACATTTATCCATAGAAGACCTTTTGACAGTCAAGAAGGCCTTTTTTACATAGAAGACGTCTTAGAGGTCAAATATTTATGGAAGATCTCTTAAACCTACCTGATTAAAAAAAATCTGGAGGTCTTCTATCTCTAAAATCTTTAGAGTGACCACATGTTTTTTATTTAAAAATTTACCTCCAAAAGGACCCTCCTAGTTTTTGCTACAGATATTTCCGAAAGAAATTTGCATTTGTATAAAGGTTTTCAATATTTTTAATTTTACTTGATTTGTATGTCCAACGTTTTTTAATCCCTTCAATGTTTTTGTTTTTCTTTCTGCTTTTCCAGAGCGGTAGTGAAAATCGTGCTTCACGATCACGTGCCGGTAGCACAGTGTCGGTAGCCACATCGACCAGTTCGGCCACAGATGATAAGAAGACACGTGATAAAACAGAAAGCAGTGGTGATAATATCGATTACAAAGCCTTGTGGGAAGCTGTGAAGTAAGTAGTGAAGTGTAATACCATGGCCATAGTCAAACTGGAAGTGGTCAAGGGGAGGCTGATATGCTCTGCTATCCAATGGAGGGAGATATTTGATTGAAATGAACATTTTTGTAAATTTCTTTTTTATTTCCAGATTGGAAAATGAAAAACTACGGGCACAGCTGAAGAAGAAAGACGACGAGGTTATACAGACACGTGCCACATTGGAAAGATTTGCTAATGCTGTAAGTAAATTTTTGTTGTTCTCATTTTTGGATATTGAATATTTTTGGTTATTTTAAATACTCTACAAAGTGGGTTTAATTAGAACCCACCAAATGGGGGTTTGGTCACAGTTTTCTTCCGAATATTTGATATTATGTTTTACATGAAAACAGTAATTTTTTTTGGAAAATGTAAATTTTGAAAATAATTACATTTACTTACACAACAACAACATTTACACAATCCAAACACAAGGTGTTTGACAATTCTTTGAGAGGATTGAAAAAATATATCCACTTATAACGGAGATTTATTGCATTATATGTAGGTATATTTTTTGTAAGTTTTTTTTACAAGTGCGCACAGAAAATAATGTTTAACCTTGAAAGCCATTCTGTAATTTAAATTATTTAGAATTCATAAGGACATATTCATATAAGATTTCGTAGACGTTCTCTTATCCAAGAAGTCATCTTCGAGGACTCATTAAAAAGTTTCTCTTCTTCGATTTTGGGATAATCAGCTGTTTATCGATCCGAAAATTTATTAATCGTAATAAACGAGGCTTTTCGCCTAGTTAACCTCTCAAAAGTTTTCGGAGTGGAGAAGATCCCCGGTTTTCTATATATGAAATCTTAGAAGGACTCTGCTATATGTCTAAAATGTTTCCATACATAGAAAACCTCATTCAAGGTCATCCCTATATACAGGACCGCTTAAAGGTCTTTCCGTGGACCGCATTAATATCTTATGGCAATTCGAGTCCTAATACATGGCTTCTTCTGTGTATAGAAGACTTCTTAAATAAGACCTTTTCTCTACAGAAAACTTCTCATAGGGTTTCTACTTATAAAAGACATCTCAAAAGGACGCGAACTACAAAAATATGAGCTAAATGTTGGCGAGCTCATCTTTATAGATGAGTTAAAAGGGAGTACTTTTAGATTAACAGAAGGAGGTTCTAACTGGATGTTAGAAGGTAGTATTTATACACGAGCTTAATTTCCTCCTTACAGACCCTTGAAGGGTCATGTTGAGATGAGTATGAGAAGGTTCTTCGAAGGGAGTGTTTATACACGGGCTTAATGCTCTCTTACAAACTAAGGTCCTCGTTATAAACAAACTATTCAGGGACGAAGTGAAGGACCTTTTTTGGCGCTTGAAGGATTTATGCATGATTTAAATTAAGTCTTCATAGATGAGTTAAAAGGGAGTCTTTTAGATGAGCAGAAGGAGGTTCTTATTGACGGTTAAGGGAAGTCTGAATAGACTGTACGGATTAGCTGAAGGTCCTCGTTATAGACAAAATATTATAGACGCAATAAAGGGCACTTTCATAGGAGTTCTAAGGGTCCTCGTTATATGTATACTAGGAACAAATGACCTCGTTTTAGGCGAGTTAAAGGTCCTCTTTAAAGACGACCGAATGACCTCTTATAGGCGAACCTTAAAGAACCGTGACAACCCGAAGATCCTCCTTAGAGACGAAATTGAAGGACCTCTTTGTAGGCCAGATGAAGACCTTTATGTGATCTAAAGGATCCCTTATTAAAGGTGAACTAAAGACTCATTTAGAGACGAACTGAAGGAGTTCCTTTATATGTGAGCTAAAGAGCCTCGTTATAATAAGCTGAAGACAAGCTGAAGGACCTCTTTTTAGGAGAAGTGTAGGATCTTTTTAGACCATTTTTAAATACAAGCCAAAAGTTCTTTTTAAGACGAACTAAAGTTGTCTTTAAAGACAGCTGAAAGCTCTATTCATAACGAGCTAAAAGCTCTATTTAAAGACGACCTGAAGCACTCTTTAATGGAACTGAAGGTCATCTTTATACACAAGCTGACCTTATAGACGTGCTGAGGGTCCGTTTGGGAGACGAGTTGAACGCTCTCTTTATAGACGAGCTGAAAGCACCTTTAAAGGCGAACTGAAGACATCTTTATGAGAAGCTCAAAACAATTTTTTAGAGTTCTGGAGTACTCTTTAGAGAATTAATTTTTATGGGATGAGGCCATTTTTATGGACAAGCTGGAGATAATTTGTATGGGCGGGCTAAAGGCCCTCTATAGACAAACTCTAGGCCCTCTTAATAGACGTACTAGAGGGTAGTGAATGGTCCTATTATGGCGAATCAAAGAGAATTTTTCAATTCAAGGACAAGATGAAGGCCCTTTTATGGCAATTTCATTGGCTTCATAGATGAGCTGAAAGCTCTCTTCAATACAGGCCTGAAGCTCTTATTAGAGACGACCTAAAAGCTCTCTTCAACTACAACCTGAAAGCTCTCTTTAAAACGAGCTGAACGCTCTATTATAGACGATCTTAAAGCTGACTTTAAAGACGAACTGAAAGACCTCTTTTTAAGATGTGCTGAAGGTCCTCTTTAGATAATCATATTTTTTTAGGATGAGGACCCGTTTTATGCGCGAGTTAAAACCTCCCTATAAATAACTGTAGGCCATTTTTTAGACAACGAGGGGCTAGATGAAGGCCTGTATTACGGGCAATTAAAGAGTATTTTTAGGGCTTGATGAAGACCCTTTTTAAAGATGAGTAAATGCCCAATTCAATTAGTAATTATTGGCTTAATGAAGGCCATTTTCACGGAAGATGTAAGGCAGTCGTTAAAGGACTCAAGATTCGATTAGTTTCCTTACTAGCGCAGATATCAATGTTATGTAGTTTTAAAGACAATTGTAAAAACTGAGCTTATAACATATGCTCCATTGTAATATATAAATATTTTCTGTGTGCGCTAGGAAAACTGAATTTATTTATTTTATATTTTTAAATTTGTTGAAGCCATCTCCCAGAGATGGAAAGTACATATCTGTAAACTGGTGACTTTCCATGAAAAACAAATAACTCTTCATACACAAACAAAAATATGCGGCGCTTTTTTCTTATCTGAATCGTTTTTGGGGTTTTTACCACTACCGCTGACTTTTGCTCGGGTGAAAGACCCGAACTTTCAACCTCACATCCTTGTCTTTTTTTGAAACGGGAGTTCTATAAGCAGCCAAATTATTACATATTTTTTGGAACAATTCCCCTACATTTGTTGCAGTTGTTTTTTTTTCTCACTTTTTACCCACCGGAAGCTTTGGTGTAAACATTCTACACTTTACATGTCCCTGTAAATATGCACTGTATTTAATTATGACAATTTGCCTTCACCCCTTTGGAACACAATAAAAATAAAAAAACCCACCAATTGTAATGCTGCAAAAAAAAATGTCCAACCCAACACCAAATCATTGTTTGTTTCTTTTTTTTTTTTCTTTGCAAACATTGAAAATTTTTGCAGACAAATAAAATTCTCTGTCAGAGATTGAAAAGCGCGAAAGGAGAGCTATGGAACGAAAACTTTCCGAATTGGAAGAAGAGCTCAAGGTAAATAGCTTTTGCAAGAGAGGGGGGAGGGAAATTTTATTCCCTCCCCCTTCCTTAATGTTAATTTGTTTTTTTTATTGTTTCACTTTGTCGTTGTTTTGTTTCTTTATTTTTATATGTTTATATACCTTGTTGTGTCACCAACCAATGCCGCAATATTGTTGTTTTTTTTTTATTTATTTTCTCTCACGTTTAACAATTTGAATTTGATACAAAAATTATCGTTTTTTTTTTTCTTAACACTTTTTAACACTGCCAAATACTAGTCAATCGTTCTAAGAAAATACCCTCCTAAAAATAATGCTGCTGCTGTCAACGCCGCCTTTTTTGACCCGCCCTCTATTGTTTTGCCTTTTTGTGTTTACAATGAAATTAATTGATTTTTGATTTTATTATTTTTTTGTTGTATTCTACTTTGATGTGCAAAAGGTATGGCTTTTGCTTTGATTTTTATTTATTTTTTTGCGTTTTTTACCCAACTACAAATTTATATGTTTTAATGTTTCGCTGTGCCCTTCAAAATGATTTGTTTATACAAAATGAGAAAATGTGCTGATATCATTGTTCTCTACATAAAACAAAAAGAAAAAAAACCAAACAATTTACTCTGATATACTATTTCTATTTACAAAATATATACTCGTACTGATGATTTTCCCAACATTGCAAATTTGTATGTGTTACACTAAAGTTTGTACTTTGGACTTTATAGACACCTTTTTGATCACAAACACTTCTGAAAATATTTAAAAAAATTAATAAAATAATATTACACTTTATGTGTGCATTTTTATGGAACAAAACTAAATATATGTGTTGCTCTACAATTCGTACTTTTCCCTCAAACAAATTTTATTTAATTTATTATAATTAAAATGTACAAAAATGTTATTATTTTAGAGTTTTAATCTTCGCAGGCAAAATCTTATTTAATACAATATGTTCTATAGTTTGGGACATCTGTATTTGCACTTCTGCAAAGGGCATCATAAAATCCAAGATAACCCAACTGCATGACTTTGTGACAGTCATTTAAGAATGAGAGGGACAAAATACAACAATATAAAAGCAATAAGTTCGGCGGGCCGAACTTTGAATACCCTCCACCATTTGGAACGAATTAAAAAAATTAAATCCTTTAAAATGATGTTAAACTATTAAAATACCGAATATAGCCGTTATATTGGGATATATACGAAGACGTAGACCTGTATAGACCTCTTTTGTCATATGCCATTACAATATTCAATAGGAAACTTGAAAAAAAAATTAAAATTTTAGCTAAAATCATCAAAAGACGAATATAGGAAGATACCGTTATATCGGGGCTATATGAATATCTGGACCTGTATAGACAATTTTCTGTCACAGGCTGTTGTACCTATAAGGAACTTCAAATACGAAATTTTTAACAATTACGGTGATACTATACCTACAGTCATCAAAATACCGAATATAGAGAGGTACTGATGTATGGGGCCTATTCGAAGACCTGACAAGTTTTTGTCATAGACCGTAGTTCCCATTTCGAACTCTAAATACGAAATTTTTAACAATTCCGGTAAATAATGTTCCTAAAATCGTCAAAATATCGAATATCGGAGGGTACGATTGTATGTGTGCTATACGATATTGGACCTATACAGGTTGAGATAAAGAAATGCAACAAAGTCAAATGCTATAATTTTTACATTTTTTAAATGTTTTTGAATGAAAGCAAATAATGTCGGATATAGCATCAAATTTTAGAATAAGTTTAAATTTGTTCGAATTAGACACCTTTGGCACGAATTATGGCCTTCAAACGGCGAATGAAACCGGTACACGCTGTCCGTATGTTGCTCTGCGATATTTTAGTCCATTCCCGGCGAAGCGCTTGCTTAATGTGTTCGACACTTTGGTATTTTTTAGTGCCACCTTGCTTTACAAAATACTCCAGATACAATAGTCCAACGGATTGGTATCCGAAGATTTTGGTGGCCATTGTGGGCTGGAAATGAAGCGATGAACCTCATTTTGTAACCATTCTTGGGTGGCGCGTGCTGACTACGATGGTGCTGAGTCCTGTTGGCTTTAATACACCCTCCAGATCGACTAATACGAGCGGAGAGCGACCATCGACTGTTATGGCGGGCCTCACCATCACCATGGCCGACGCTTGAGTTCTGGTGGCCAACCAAATGTGCACGTTTTCAGCTGACCTCTTTGGCAAGTAAACACGATCATTTTGTTTGTTTACAACTGCTGGACAACGAATGTATTCTCATCGGAGAAAACCAAATTCGGCAGTTCACCACTTTCGGCCAAGCGCAGCAACTCTTTAGCTCTTTTGAGTCTATTTTCTTTCTGTTGCGGTATAAGTTCTTGCACTTTTTGGAATTCCGATGGTTTTACCCCAAGCTCATTTTTCAATATTTGCCGAATGGAATATTGTGATATGTTCAGCTCACGAGCCATTTTTAGGCCACTGCGACGCGGGTTTCGATCAAGTCGCTTCTTTACTTTTCGAACAATTTCTGCTGATATTGCTGTTTTCTTTCGTCCACTTCCTTGACGTCGGGTTACACTAACAGGTAACGGGCGATGGTACGAAACACAACAAATTTATTCACATTTAAATGCTGGAGTGCTCTAACGATAGCCATTTGTGGTTTTCCAGCCAAATATAAAGAAATAACTCTGTCACGCTTGAATTCCATCAGAAATAATTTTTTTCCTGGAAAATTCTCACCAAATGCTTTTGTACGCTTGTAAACAATACAATGAACTGTCACAGGAATAACTTTAACAGCTGTCGGATGAGTGGCTTAGAAATTACATCAGTCTGAAGTTGGTTTCAGTTTTTTCATCTCACCTTGTATTGACGAAAATATTGAGTTTATTTTTATGATAGGAATGATTCTTCAACAATGTGTTTTATAATTTTGACCGTTTGTAAGGGAATATCGCAAGGATTGGACCTTAAAACCCACTGTCATACCAGACACGACACAAATATTACAATCTTTGAGATTTGGCCAATATCGATATATATACAATATAAGATATATAATTTTTTCCATTTGATATTTTTTTTTTTTTTGAGATTTGGCCAATATCGATATATATGCAATATAAATTTATAATTTTTTCCAAATCAGGAACTATATGGGGGATATACCAGATGTATTGTATTAATATTGGTCATGGGGATTAAAACCACTATTGCCATAAGACTCATTCTGATTTCTACAGAATGATGTATACCCTTTGAGGCTATAGGCTGATGGTGCAAAAAGTTATTTGGAATTTCGGTTCGATATATTCTTGTTTAAGCTACAAAATTGGTACAAAATTGGCAGATTTATCAGTCCCTCGTTGTTTTAAATTTGATTAGAGCATTTAGTTGGAAGCATTGGAGCATTCTCTTATTGGAAATACATTGCTTGATTTTATTGTGTTTTGATATAGTGTTCCATAGGCTTACGAAACGAAATTATTCCATATTTACCGATCTTCTTATAAAAATATCTTTGCTTTTACTATTACATAGACTCTTAGCAAACCATAAAAAAGTACGAATTGTGAATGCTAAACTATTACAGAAATATTAACTTTAAACCTTCTTATTATCACATATACATCACACACTGTATTATCAGCCATAGATTATCATTTATTTGACATTTTGAGTTGTGAATTTTTCGGTTATATGTCCATGTCAGTGTATGTGTGTGTACGTCTCGTCATCTGTTACATGTCATCTCATTTGTCATTCATCATCTATCACTCCTCTCATCAACAACAACATCACCATTGTTTGTTGTCATCAGCTTCATCATATCATAACGAAACTTACATCATCTAGACTGTCTTCTATAAACAAACAGACAAACAAACAATCCTCAAAACCACATCAAGATTTTTGTGTTTACCTTTGTAAATAGTATTTGGGAACAGGCAGCGCAACAATATGATCCCATCCATTTTATTAATATTACTATTTTGTTTTTGTCCATACATATTTGTTTTTTGTTTTTTATTGTTTAACAATGAAAAGAAAAACATTAATTACATGTCTATCAAGTGTTGATTTCTATTTTTTTTGTTTTATTTATTTTTAATATTTTATCCACCGAGCACGTTTATAAAAATGTCATCTACCTTCCCCCACCACCACCACCATTAAATTGACATTTCGATTGTCTATTTGTGTGCTTTTTATTGTTTTTATGCGTGGAAACACCCATTCCATCATCTTTGTTTTGGTTCATATGCAACACAAAATTGTAGCATACTTTCAGGCTCTTAATTAAAAGATGACCATACATGAAATTCCCTTGTTTTTTTGTTCGTTTTTTTCATTGAGGAAATAATCATTTTTAGTTTTATTTTTTCTTTCAAATCATTTCATTTTATTGGAAATAACACTATGCAACAGAATTTAAAATTGGGTCAAAAATACACTTCAAAATAATTTTAACGATTTTTTTACAAACTCTTCCAAAAAAAACTTTGGCATAGTGTTATCTCAAGAAATCAAACATTTTCTACCTGTCCCCCTCACAACTCCTTTTCCTTGCATTTTATTTCGTTTTGAGTTTTAGTTTTCTTTTTTGCATATCATTTGATTTCGAACGAATATCTTCATGATGTAACTCAAAATTCATGCATTTGTTTATCTTCCGTTTACATGAATTTGTTTTTCTTTCTATTTCTCTTTCTCTCTCCACATTTCTTTGATTTATTTTCTAATTGTTGTAATTGTAGCTACTACAGAAGTTAAAGAATGAGAACGAACGTTTACGTGCTGAAAATCGTGCTCTCACACGTGTTGTCTCGAAGTTGACCTCATCGGCCCAGAGTCAACTATCGAAGGCCAATAATAAAAAATAAAATATAATAATCAAATAAATATTCAAAAAAATAATATGGAATAGTTAACACACAATATTTATTTATATAAGAAAACCAAACAACTCGAATATTTATACTTAATAATAGTTTTTCTATTTATTATTAAAACATGCCAAATTGAACTGCTCTAGAAACCAAAAACAAAAACAAAACTATATATCAAAACGTATCAAAACAACAAATATTCAAATTTTCTTGCACCAAAACAAAAACCAAAATCAAATAAATAACCAAATACTACAAGTAGTTAAACATAATATTTAGTGGAAATATATTTATTAGTTTTTTTTCTTTTGTTGTTGATTTCTAATTTTCTCGCTCATTCTCTCTTTCGAAAAAAAAACAAAAATTATTTTTCCTAGTTTTTAAGTGATGTGAAGTATTTAAAACCAATATTTATATATTTGCTAGATATTATATTCTTGGAAACAAAAAGTCTATATTTTCTTAGTCGTAATTTGTTGTTGTCTATAATAAATTTGTATTTACTTATTTTTAGGAGTATTGTTTTGTTGAATGATAACGAAGAAAAATGAAAACATATCATTTTACCATTCAAAAGTATTTTTCTTTTTGATTTTTAAAAATTTGTTGGATAACGAAATCGAAAACAAATGGATTTTATACAAAGCACGGGTCCCCAATTAGGCTCAAGTTTGATAATGTGATGATATTTTCGCATGAATTGGCTACGTTTGGGGATAATTGGAATTTTTACCTTAAAAAGATCTATCGTTCTTTAAAAAAAAATGCAGATTACCTATTAGAAGAATAATTCATCTTGACGATACTTAGCAATTTTTAATTAGAATCTCCTTCGACAACTTTAAAGATCTTCAAAAAATCTACAGATTTTCTTTGACCATATTCATAGATCTTTTATGGGAAGATACATAGATTTGATTTTCCAAAAAATTGTAAGAACTCCTATAAGAACATCATCAGATCTTCTATAAGAAGATGATAAGATCTTCTGTGAGAACAACATCAGATCTTCCAGTATAACCCCGTGAGATCTTCACATGAAATCATCAAATCTTTATAAGAAGCGTAAGATTTTCTCTTGAGTACATCATCAGTTCTTCTATAGGAAGATCGTTTCTATTTTAGAAGATCATCAGCTCTTCTATAAGAAGATCGTGAGATCCTGACTTGAGAAGATCATCTGCTCTTTTATAATATGATCGTGAGATCTTCTTTTAAGAGATCTAGATTTACACTTGAGAAGATTATTAGAGAAAAGCTCATGAGATCTTTTATGTGAAGATCTTCAATGAGAATATCGTAAGACCTCTAGATCTTCTATGAGTCGTTAGATCTTCTATTTGAATATCATATGAGAAGATTGATAGATCTATGATGAGGTCGCTAGATCTTTTATAAGAATACTAATGAGAAGATCATAAGATCTTCATAGGAAGATCGAGATATCTTCTCTTAAGAAGATCATCGGAACTCCTATAAGAAGATCGAGAGATCTTCTCTTGAGAAGATCATCAGAACTTCTATAAGAAAATTGTGAGGTCTTCTCTTGAGAAGATCATCAGAACTTCTATAAGAAATCATGAGATCTTCTCTGGAGAAGATCATCAGCTCTTTTATAAGAAGATCGTGAGATCTTCTCTTGAGAAGATCATCAACTCTTCTATAAGAAGTTCGTGAGATCTACTCTTGTGAAGATCTACTCTGAAGAAGATCTAGGATAAGCTCGTGAGATCCTTCATTGAAGATCTTCTATGAGAATATCGTAAGACCTTTAATGGAAAATCTTTAGATCTCCTATTATAAGGTCGTTATCTTCTATGAGAAGATCGTTAGATCTTATAAAAGAAGACCAAAGGTTTTTAATGAGAAGATCGTAAGATCTTCTATTGAAATATCGTAAGATGCTCTATAGGAAGATCATAAGATCTTCTATTAGGTAATAGTTTGATGTTCCAGGAGGAGATCGTTAAATTTTCTATGAGGAGATCTGTTTATCTTCTAGGAGTTCTGTGTGGCGATCGTTATATATTCTTTAAGGGGTTCGCTAGATCTTATATAAGGTTTTTAATGAGAGATCGTAAGATCTTTTATTGAAATATCGTAAGATCCTCTATAGGAGGATCGTAAGATCTTCTCTTAGGTAATAGTTTGGCACTCCAGAAGATGATCGTTAAATTTTCTATGAGAAGATCTGCGTGAGTAGATGCTCTGTGTAATGGTCGTTATATATTCTATAAGAGGTTCGCTAGATGTTCTGTAATAAAATCGCGCGATATTCTATGAGAAAGTAATTAGATCTTCTACGAGAAGATCATTAGATGATCTTAGAGAAGAATCTTAGATCTTATAAAAGATGATCATTAAATCTTACACGATGATTATTGGATCTTCTCAGAGAAGATCGTCACTTTCTGAGAGAAAGTCGTTTTTAGGAGGTTGGATAGCCTAGGATCCAGGACCGTTGGATTTTTTCAGAGAAGATCGTCACTCTTCTGAGAGAATCCGTTTTAGGAGTTGGATAGCCTAGGATCTAGGACCGTTGGATTTTTTAAAAGATCATTTAGAGAAAATGAATCTACAAAAAAAAGTTCCGCATTGTTTAACTAGTTTTCTATGGGAAATTCGACCAATCTTTGGAAAAATCAATTGATATTCTATGAAAGATTAGCTGATATTTTACGGAAAGATTAATTTATGTTTATATTCCACGGACTTCAGATGTTATTTCTTTCAGAATATCATGATTTTTCTATGAGATCTGCTTCAGATGTGCTGTGAGGTCTGTTATCTTCAAGAAAATCTGTATGAAAGTTCCTTAAATCGTTTATGAGAAAATCTACAGAAAATCTCTAGCCCGAAATTCAAAATTTGAGACTGTATAAATCCATTTGCATACAAATCTATTTACAAATTTTACCCCCACACGTATTAACAACCAAATTCTAGTTAAAATTTTTCAAATCAAAGGCAGTTGCCGTATTGCGCAAAATCATAGAAAAATATCAAAATATACCAATCAAATGTTCATTACTTAGATCTACTCTACTACCAAAATACAATGAGATGGAATTTATAAAATGTAATACTCAAATCAATACCACCTACAATAAATACAAAGAAATATATAATAAATCAAAAATATTTAAACAAATTTAAAAAACGAAGTGAATTACTGGAGAATTTTTGTTTACATACAAACAGCAAGATAGATATACAACAAATACATAGGCAAAACACCGCAAATTACCTAAACAACAAATGCTATACAGATACACACGAACGAAAAATTACTCTCCACAAAATTAGACCGAAAAGCGCTGGTGAGAGCTAACATTCTTCCGAATGTTAATGGTAAAGAACTTAGACTCAATAAATTTGAAATAATCTGATGGAACTTTTCTAAATTGTTGATATGAACTTATACCGTTCTACCAATGAGGGAGGTGAATTATATGGCCTTGGGTTTTTTGGAGACCGGAACAAACGCCTTTGGAATGGTGACCCCAAAAGAAATTGCATTAATTAACTGGTATGGCAATGATGATGTTGGGAACTTTAGAGATCTGTAAAACTATTTGAATGATGTCGAGAATGATAGAGGATTTGAGATGACCATGGATGGCTCGCAGACGACGTGGATGATGATGATGAGTATGAATCGTTTATCTTCTTCTACCTGTGTATGTGTATGTTATTATGACGATATTTTTACCATTATGATAATAACCAACGTTTTGAATGATCTTCTTGATGATGATGATGTGATGACTGCCTCCAAAATACTACTTTACTACTATTCCTCCTTTCTACTGATATATCCTGATTTATCTGTCTATTTATTTACCACCGCCCCCTAAAATGTAATATGTCTATGTCCACTGTTATTTGAGTTTTTGGTTTTTAGTAAAATAACAACATTTTAATTGAGCCTTAGGCTAACCACAACATTTTTTTTTTTTCTTTGTAGTATTAGTATTGAATGGAAATATAAGGAAATTAAATTTCCAATTCTTTTTTTCTTTTATAATAATAATTATGTTTCCTTTTATTTTGAAATAAATGTATTATCATTATGTTATGTTTTTTTATGATTTGTTGTTTTCTATGCAGAGATTTTCTTTGGCCAATAATCAATCACAGAAAGTTCTATTAGAGAAAAAAAAAAACAACGGAGTTTTGCTCTCCACTGTTACTCGTATTCTGACATTACTTTCCTATCAGAGGTCGTGACACAGAATTTTGAATTATAAAATATATTTTCCTATTGTATGTATTTGTTCAATAAATAAATAAGAAGAAAATTATAATTCTTTTATGGTCGATTATGAAAAAAAAACAATTTTAATTGACTTTATCAATAAAAATGTTTTCCTTGAAGGGTCTTCCGGGTATAGAATATTTTCAGAAATTCTGGAGTTATTCTGTAGATCTTAAATGTACTTTTCTTTAGATTATCTTCACAGGGTGTATAAAAACCCCTTTTACATTAAATAACCAGTAAAGGAAGTCTAAAAGGGTCTTGAAGGGTCTCCCGGTATAGAATATTTACAGAAATTCTGGAGTTATTCTGTAGATGTTTAATGTACTTTTCTTTAGATTATCTTCACAGAGTGTCTCAAAAACCTTTTACATTAATAACCAGTAAAGAAAGTCTAAAAGTCGGGTGGGCCGAATTTATACAAATAAAAGTTTTTATGGGGTATTTGTGAGAATTAAATCATACTAACTATGATTATAGTTATAATTTCAAGTCCAAAGTAACTAATATGAGAGGAATATCCTCCTCCTAAATTTGCCGAGGCATATGGGCCTTTCAATTTTGGCTTATAAATTAATATATTTGGTGCACAATTAACTTGAAATCGGAAAAAGATGTGTATCAAATCTGAACCGATTTCGATACAATTGTCGAAGGTATTTCTGAGCTGTATTAGATATATTTTTCCCTATCGTTGTTACGAAGTGCATATTACGACTGTGAAGGACAAAATTAC